AGTCGGCGTGAGTTTAAATGGACATCGGAGGATGTTAGAGGACAGGAAGGCCTGGAGGAACATTGTCCATGGGGTCGTGATGGGTCGGACATGACTTTACTACTAACAACAACAACAACAGCTTCTATTTCAGCTTCAACCCCACTAGAGTAGACTGGTCTGGAGTTCAGGGACAGGGATTGGCTCAGTCACCCAGATATCAGGAACCTGGGTCTCCTAAATCCTAGTCCAACACCTTAGTCCTCCTACCACGCTGGAGGTCAGATGCAATGTGACAATAATTAATCAATTACATCCACAAACTTTTGACATCCCAATGGCAATACAGGTAGTCCTCGAATGATGTTCACAATTAAGCCTCAAATTTCTGTTGATAAATGAAATGCCCCATATTATGACATTTTTTGCTACAGTTAAGTGAATCACTGTAGTTGTTAAGTTAGTGACATGATTGGGAAGTGAATCTGGCAGGATCTCATTGATTTTGCTCATCACAAGGTCGCAAAAGGGGATCATGTGACCCTGGGACACCACAACCGTCATAAATATGAGACTATGGTCAAATGTCTGAATTTTGATCACACGACCACGAGGATGTTGCAACAGTTGTCATTGTGAAAAACGGTCACAAGTCACTTTTCCCCCAATGCCTTTGTAACTTTGAATAATCGCTAAGTGAACAATTGCAACCTGGGGAGTAGCTGTAATGAACTACAAGGAGACAACTGACAGTGAGAACAATCGATCCGTGCAACAGAAGTTGCCTTCGGACGTTGTGGGAGCTTCATCACTGGAAGCTTTCAAAAAGAGATTGGACTGTTGTCTGTCAGAAATGGTGTAGGGTCTCCTGCTTGCGTGGGGGGTTGGACTAGATCAGGGTCCACCAATCTTTTGGACCTCAAGGATCACTAAATTCATAATTTTAAATCCTACGGACCCCTAATATGACCTGCCTAATGATTGGCTGTGTGGGTGTGGCTAGGTGGTCATGTGATTGAGTGGGCATGGCCAACTCGATGTCACTCACATCATGGGGTGCCTCGCCCGCCTCTACTCACCCCTCTCCTGCCAGCCACTCCTCCCCTCCCCTCCCGGGCTCCTTAGGCCCTCAGTAGGAAGCAGTTGTTGGAGCTAAGCAGCCACCATGAGAAAGAGTTGGCAAAAGAGCTCAGTTCAAATTGCAGAAGCACCTCACTGAGGACTAGGAGCATAGGCTTGCCAAGCAGAGGGAAGCCTGCGGAAGTGCAAGGCCAGGTACCAGCACCTGGAGGCTCTGCGGCCTGAGATGGTCAGCCAGTTCCAGGCCATGATGCAGTCCTACTGGAACGACGCCCTCCGGCTCTTTGCCGCCAGTGGTGCTTCCCTCCACCATCTGGCCTTCACCCAAAGCCTCTCACCAGGAGGCTGAAGCAGACCCCAAGTCGGAATTTCTGCCCCACTCCAACCTGCACAAAAAGACCCCAAAGGGGGAGACTCTCTGCAGCAACACAAATGTTCACTGCATGCATCCATACCAGGGGCCGTAGTTTGAGGAGCCCTGATGTAGTGCAATATAAGAAATACAAATAATTTTTCTACGGACCACCAAAATTTTCTCGTGGACCACCAGTTGGTGACTGCTGGACTAGATGACCTAGAAGGTCCCTTCCAACTCTGTTAATCTGTACCTGTAACTCACGGCCTCTGCATTCAGAATATTAAATGGTTTACATTTTGCAAAGAGTGGAAGGGTTTGATCTCAGACGGGGAGAAGGCCAGCAGATGGAACAAAACAACAGGCTGAAACTAAACTATAGCTTTTATCAGGTTCTCAAGGAAAGGGTTAACATTGCAGATATAAAATTACTGACATTCAAGCTCTGGAGATTATTTTCTGGAGAACAATCCTCTCTATTGACTCTGGGGAGGGAAAGTGCTACCACAGCAGGAAATGCCAGATATGTTTATGATCCTTCCTTTCCACTGGGATTCCACATATAATCTCTCCACTCATCCATCAAACTTCGTTCTATGGAATTAGGTAATCTGGCTGAAAAGATGTGAACTTAATTTGGTTCGGGGTGGGAAATGGTTGACGGGGTCACGGGAAGTTGCAATCCTTTCCATTTTGACTTTCCAGACTCCGTTGTTACATCCTCAAATCCCCACAGCTTCAATCTCAAACTGTCTACCGTAGACCTCACCCCATTCCTAAGAGGTCTGTAAAGTGCACCAGCGTGCCTACCGTCCCTATCCTACCGTCCCCATTTATTTGTACTCATTTCCTTTGTTCATGTCCATGTTTAGGAAGAACTTCCTTTTTCTTTTTTTGGAACTGAACTGGAATATTTGAATCCGATTAGAAGTGGAAAATAAGAAGAAAATACAAAGAAACTGTGGACTTTAAACTGTAACGAACTGAGATAAATTTTAAAAGAGAAACTGTAAATTGTAAGATGTGTACTATGGAGAGTTGGGAGTTTGAAGAATTTTGTGAGGTTACAAAAAATATGCATGAATCACTGAAGTTACCATTTTTTTTGGCGTATAAGATGCACCATTTTTCCTCAAAAAAGCAGCTGAGAATCTGGGTGCATCTTATACATTGAATACAGCATTTTTTGCCTCCCGAAGCCCTGCCTCTTTCACCAAAATGGCCGTGCATAGCCTTTAGGAGGCTTCCAGAGAGTTCCTGGGGACTGGGGAGGGCGGACATGAGTGAAAAATTGGCCGTTTTTTGCTCAATTTTCCCCCTCCGCACTCTATAAGCCCCCTAAAGGCTATGCATGCACTTTTTGTGACAAAAAATAGGCCCACTTTTGCAAAAAATAGGCCAATTTTTACTCATTTTGCCCCCCCCCAGGAGCACTCTACAAGCCTCCTAAAGGCTATTCATGCCCTTTTGGGGGGGGGGAGAGGGAAACGGGCCATTTTTGGGAGGTCTGCAGAATGCAAAAACTTTTTTTTATTTTCCTCTTCAAAATCTTGGCGCGTCTTATACGCTGAAAAATACAGTAAACAAAAATGTTAAGCTAGACAGTAAGGAACAAGAAATAAGCAGGGAGGAAGAAGGAAAAGAAAGCGGAGCTATAGAAAAGGTTATAGAAGCAAAGGAAAATAAAAATAAAAAACACGTCAATGATTACACTGGGAAGGACAGTGACACTGGGGAAATTGAAAAGGGGGAGTGAGTTCCAACAAAGAAAGGAAAGGGGATTAAGGAAGAAAGGAAACGAAACGATTGGACAGGCATAGAGCAGGAAGAAGGGAGGCAGCATACGACAAAGAAAATGCACTACAATAAAAGAAAAGGGGGAAATAAGGTGAGGAGACAAAAGAAAACAGGAATGGGGGCATACCAAATGGCACAGCAAAGGGCAATAAAAAAGAATTGGAAGAAAGAAAAGAAAGAAAAAAAAGAAGAACATGGAACTTGGCTTTGTGGTCCGAATGGAGGGAGAGAGGGATGATTCCAAGGAAGCGGCGGACATGAGAGCCCGCCATCATGTGCTCCTCATGCAAATGGAGCTGTGCGGGCATTCATGTGCTTGCCCATCACTTCTGCAGCCCAGTCCCAAATGGGCCATGGCCCTGTATTGAGCCGTGTCCCAGGGGTCAGGGACCCATATCTGAAAGGGTCGATATCTAGAAAATCCATAGTTGTGTTCTCACTTGCGATGCGGAGACAGTTAGCTTTTATTTTGTTTTCGAGCAAGACGAGTTATGGAAGGATGCTCTTTGGTTTATTATGAGTAAGGGAATGAGGCAAACATGGGTGTTTCCTCCTAGTTTTGGTAGAGATTGATTTAAATTCTGCTGGGACTATTTCAAGATGGGATGGTTGTGTTAATTTTGAGCCGTCAAGCAATGTGTTTTTCTCTCTGGAAAAGTGTGTGCAGTTGCCATCACAAAATGATCCTCCAGCACAGAGGTCTCCAACCGTGACAACTTTAAGACTTGTTGACTTCAATTTCCAGAGTTCCTCAGCCAGCAAAGCAAATAATTTTTCTGCGGACCACCAAAACTTTCTCATGGACCACCAGTTGGTGATGACAGTTTTAGTGGACTATCCCAACTCTGTAACACTTCAGAACAGGAAAAGAGATTCAATAATATTTCCTTTTTGTTGCCCCTAACAGGCATTTTCTCTCACCCCCCCTACCCTTCCCTTGTTCTCCAAGTCCTCATGCCTTTTGGCGCCGGCGCATCCACTGCCATGTGGGTGAGGCAGCTGCTTTTTTCACTCCCAAGCTCAGGCATTCATCAAAGCCCACCCACCCACCCACTCCTTCTGCACACAACAGGGATGCAGAAGGGAAGTTACACAGCAGAAATTGGCTATTTTCTGCACCTGGAGAAGAAGCAGCCATCCAAGTAGATAAACACATGCTATCCTGGTCTGGAAGTTTTATCTGCTCAAAATATGGGGTAGAAATGACCACAAGACATAGATAGCTGACCTATCCAGAGGTATTGATCAAGAAAGGCAACTTTCTCAGATTGATTCCTTCCTTCCTTCCTTCCTTCCTTCCTTCCTTCCTTCCTTCCCCACCTTTAATATTTTTACAAATAATTCAAGGTGGTGAATGCATCTAACCCACCTTCCTCCTCCTATTTTCCTCACCCCTATGAGGTGAGTTGGGCTGAGAAAGAGAGAGACTGGCCCAAAGCCAGAGAGAGAGGGGGGGAGGGAGGGAGAGGGAGAGGGAGACAGACAGAGACAGAGAGACAGACAGAGACAGGGACAGGGACAGAGACAGAGAGCAGAGACAGAGAGACACAGAGAGAGAGAGACAGAGAGGCAGAGATACATATAGAGATGATAGATAGATAGATAGATAGATAGATAGATAGATAGATAGATAGAGAGAGAGAGAGAGAGAGAGAGAGAGAGAGAGAGAGAGAGAGAGAGGGTAAATAGATGTATATTTACCTCAGGTGTGTCATTCAGCTGAAGAAAAATAAGCTAAATATGCATAGGCTAAGCAAACATGTAAAACAAGACAACTTGGGAATCTCACTTGGAAAAGGTGTTTCTGGCGTAGTGCATGATGCTGTCAAAATCGTATGTTTCGCCTAAGGACTCCACCTCTTCAGGTTCCATCTTCAGGAAGTTGTACTCCTGCCCTGCAGAAGGACCAAGAGGAAGAAGCATGAAAATTGCAAGGTAGCTTAGGGCAGGGGTGTCAAACTCAAGGCCTGGGGCCAGGATCCAGCCTGCGGGGTGCTTAGATCTGGCCTGCAGGGCTGCCCTGGAAATAGCAAAGGACTCGCCTGCGGTGCCTCTGCCAGCAAAAACGGAGCTCTGGTAGAGGGTTGCAAGAGGCCATCTCAACCAAAAACAGAGCTCGAAAGGGCCACAGGCAGCTCTCCCAAGCTCCGTTTTCACTGGCAGAGGGTTGCAGAAAGCCATTGCAGCTGAAAACGGAGCTCGGGAGTCCGTCTTCGCTGGCAGAGTGCCTGGGCCACCAGAGGCGCCCTCAACATGAGTGACATCGAGTTGGCTACACCCAAACTGGCCACATTCACCCTGCCCCCCTCCAAAGGGAAACACAACCTTGACGTGGCTTAGATGGTCTGGAGCAAATATCGTCTCCCAAGGGTTAGCAGATTTGGTGTTTTCCCTTCCACACCCTGCTTATTAATGGCAGCCTCTGATTTCTCCTATGTGACCCCCCAAAAAACACAAAACCATTATCTGAGCCCATAATCCTACATGGATTAGGGACCAATTTTACCTACAGAACTGTTTTCGTCCCATTAACTAACTTACTGCACCTGTGTTGCTCTGCCAATTGCCCAGCGGCAGATAGGACAGCGCTCCAGAGGGTCAACATCATTGCCCAGAGGATCATTGATTGTCCTCTCCCCTCCTTGGAAGAGCTTTATAGCTCCCACTGCCTTAAGAAAGTTCAAAACATCCTTAAAGATCCATCTAATCCTGGGCACCCCTTTTTTTTGAACTGTTACCATCTGGCAGACGGTACAGGATAATAAAAACAAGGACAAGTAGGCTGAAGAACAGCTTCTTTCCCAGAGCAGTAACCATATTCAATTCTATGGTATAGTGCAATATTGAGTTTTCAATTTCAATTATATAGAATGTAAAGGATGTATCTTTATGTTTTTATTTTTATAATTGTAAGTACACCGAAGACAGCATTTAATGTCATTGTACCATGTGCAATGACAATAAAGTAAACTAAAAACTAAATCAACCCCTCCCATCCGGTCAGGAAGGGGAGGTGTGTGATGGACTCTGTCAATCAAAGAATTACCACCGGTGGGGTCCTTCTCTGCTGTTGCCTCTACTATGGGGGACATTCTTCCCTCCACCGGAGAGAAGGGGTTCCCATTCTCTGGCCTTCAACATGGCTCTGCAACCTTCCTTGGGGTGCACAGAGGAACATGCAGCCATTGGACTGGTTGACCCCCTGAAAATCCTCTGCCTTTCATTTTAACATTGCTCTTGCCTCTTTTTACATTTTATATACAGTAGTGCCCCAAATTGTGGAAACCTTTAGAGGAAAGTGTATTTTTGAGGTTTGATGGCTAATAACACCACTTTTTTTTTTAGTAGTACCATAAAATTATATATCAATGGAAAGATAATTTAATCAAGAATGCAGTGCAATAACTTTTATGAAGGCTTTGCTATTAGAATATCAGTTATAAAGAAGAAAAGTGAATCACATAGAAAAAAATGAGATATACAAAAGTTATCACCATGTCAGTAAATCCTTAGTTGGGTAACCTTTAGCATGAATTATGGAATTACGTCTTCCCATGAAGTGAACCAAGTCTTTTAGTTCTGCAGCTGATGTGAAACCAAGATTGAATGATTGCTTCTATTCATTGGGTTTTATTGCTGGCAACTTTTTATAGACTACAGATAATTGAACAAACTTTGTTGCATTGCATTCTTGATTAAATCATCTTCTCATTGATATGTAATTCTATGGTACTACTCAAAACAAAAGTGGTGCTATTAGCCATCAAATCTCAAAAATACACTTTCGCCAAAAGGTTTCCACAATTTGGGTCACTAGTGTACAGGCAATCCTTGACTTTGTTTAGTCTTTGTATGAAGTTACAACATCACTGAAAAATACCAACTTAAAACATAAGTCACAACTTAAGTGGTTTTCACACTTACGACCACTTGGCAAGTGGCATATATTTATGACAGTTGCGGTGTCCCAGCATCATGTGATCACTTTTTGCAAACCCCTGACGAAGCCCACTTAACAACCATGTTACTAACTTAACAACTGCAGTGATTCACTTAACTGCTGTGGCCAAAAAGGGGCATCATAAAATGGGGCATAACTCACTTAACAGCTGCCTTGCTTAGGAACAGAAATGCTGGGTTCAATTGTGGTTATAAATTGAGGAGTACCTCAATTTCAATACTGAGGATTAGTATCAAGCAGGATGCAAGACATCTGGGAAGAATATGTAAATCCCAGAAACGTGGATATGCTTGTATTGTTTTTAATCTTTTCTTTGTGCAGCATCCGAGTCCCTCTGGGAGCGAAAATTTGATAAATAAAGAAATGCTGAGTCAGCTCTGGGTGCTTGTGGGTCAGCGTAACTAAATAGCAATAGCAATAGCAATAGCAATAGCAGTAGACTTATATACCGCTTCATAGGCCTTTCAGGCCTCTCTAAGCGGTTTACAGAGAGTCAGCATATTGCCCCCAACAATCTGGGTCCTCATTTTACCCACCTCGGAAGGATGGAAGGCTGAGTCAACCCTGAGCCGGTGAGATTTGAACCGCTGACCTGCTGATCTAGCAGTAGCCTGCAGTGCTGCATTTAACCACTGCGCCACCTTGGCTCTTTTTTAATAAGCAAACTCAGCTGACACTTGGCCAGTCATGGGATTCTTTCCAACTGCGAAAGTCTGCCTTAATTCTTCTCAATATAGAGAATTGTTGGAAGAAATATTCATCTGGCTCAGTTCCAAGCTGGGAGAAAGACCCTGGAAACTTGGGAGGCTGATTGGAACGAGGGTTTCATCGTGAACAGGAGCACCAAGCACATGGAGTTGAGAGTAAAGGATAGTGTTATGTCAAAGCACTTGGTATGGCCAAATATGGGAGGGAGCATACTGCTTCCCCTTTTGTCTTTCCAGTCTGAAAGTCACCTAGGAGCCTTCCAGCAGGAAACCATTTTTGTGTTACATTTGTGCTGATAAATAAATAAAGGGAGACTAGTATAGAGCTATTTCAAGCTACTTAGCTCTCATCAGCTAGCCATATCCTTACTGGGATTCAAACCTGGGCTGTATGCTCCCTCCCATATTTGGCCATACCAAGTGTTTTGACATGACACTTAATCATTTCCTTGGTTCAGCTGATAAGGGAGGCAGCTTGTGGCTTATTGGCTAATATAACTGCCTAGCATGTAAAAACAGCCCAGGTTCGAATCCCAGTAAGGGTATGGCTAGCTGATGAGAGCTAAATAGTTTGAAATAGATCTATACTAGTCTCCCTTTATTTATTTATAAGCACAAATGCAATACACACACACATACACACACCTTCTCTTGGGCTTTGCACTTGAGCTTCCTGTTCCTGTGCAAGAACATGTATTCTAATGGCTGTTGTAGGGGTCATAGCTAACTTTGTAGATTTCTGAGCTCCCAGGTTTGGTTGAAGTTTGCTGGGTGATAAAATCTCCACAGTGATTCTGCCATGTAGTGAGGTCTGCTGCTAGATGGGTTAATCCTATAATGTCCTGGAGGGACATTATCTGCTGTCTTAATCTGCTGTCTTAATTCCATCACCCTGGAGCTGGAGGTGTTTTGCTTTGTAGACAAGCTGGCCCAGTCTTTCTTAATGGACAACAAATATCTGCTGGGAGCAGGGAGCTGGTTTCTGTCTTTAGATTTCTCCTTTAGGGAAATATAACATTCTGTCTTTTTAAATATTTCTCAAAATATTTCATTCACCTAGGAGGGGTGATTTTCCTCAGAATCAAGCAGGATGCAAGATCTCTTGGAAGAATATGTCAACCCCAGAAACATGGATATGCATTTGGAGAAAAAAGCAGTGAGGGTGGAATAAGCTAGTAAGAAAGGGAAGTACAGGTAGTCCTTGATTTATCAATTGAGCCCCAAATTTCTGTGGCTAAGCGAGACATTTGTTAAGTGAGTTTTGCTCCATTTTACGGTCTTTCATGCCACAGTTGTCAAACGAATAATTGCAGTTGTTAAGTTAATAACACAGTCTTTAAGTGAATGTTAGCATTGTCAGAAGGTTGCAAAATATGATCACATGACCCTGGGACACTGCGATCATAGTAAATATGAAATACTAGATGGATACCCGTGCTTCACAAATAAACTATGTGATCGGGGTATGCAGGAGAAATTCAGTTCACAATTCATTGGCTCTGTGGTGGTTGATGATTGAAACACATAAGGGAATATCACTCCTGCCACTTTGAATCTGGAAGCAGTTCCATAGGGGGAAAGCATAGACATTTTGGTGAGATACCAACGTTTTGTACTGTAAGGAGCCCCAGGCCGCTCCTGAGTGAAGGAGTGGAACGTCTGGCAGAGTTCTTTTCAGGTGGGGGAGTGGGAGTAGAACTCCTTAGCATCAGAGCGTGTTTATTACTGTATTAAAAATACTAATGATCTGATGGTCATTTCAAAAAAATCATTTTTTAGCAAGCACCTAGAAGCCAAGAGGAACATACGTGCCAACTTTCAAGTTTGTGGGCTTTACGGTTCTGCAGATTTTGTGATGTGAGTTGCATTTGCCATATATATATATATATATATATAT